ATGAGTGTGTTTGTGAATGGTTATGTGTTGCCTTGTTGTTTGGAAAAATTATGAATTATTGAAAATAAATACTGTTATATACTGGTTTGAAATTATTGCCAAGTGGGTCAAAAATTTATTTTTATTTATCATGATGAGATATTATTGTTCGGATATATTCTTATTTGGATATTTGAATGATGCATGACTTGTCAGGGTATTTTAATGTATGGTGTTAATGGGAATTTCTGTTCGGTTAATTATTACCACGTGGTAAGCTCTCATTGGATCCAATGAGTGGCGTGTCGCTTGGTCCAACTCACCTTTGACCGGGTGATTTGGCGTCCGAGCATGGCAAAAGGAGGATATAAGGTGCAGTCATGCAATTAAATACTTGTTCGGTTTGTTTGAAAATATTGTTCGGTTAAATGTTTTGTGTGCCCACTTAGCAATCGCATGATTAGTTACATTTGCATGCATCATTACATATTAATTTTTGGTTACTGGGACTTTTAAATCTCATTCCCCGTGGTTAACATTTTTACAGGAGCGAGTCCGGCCGAGAAAGCACCAGAGACGTAACTTTGGTGTATGAGACACCATCTTTTACGTTGCCTCTCATTTTGTATTATGCAATGTATCTTGTGCCAACCTAGGACATATCTTCTTTGTGAAACATGTAAACTCAAATCCTTTTTATTAAATGCATTTATATGACCAAGAGGATTACGTTTGTTCCTCTTGATTCATGACCTGATTTAAATATTATGCCATGAGGATCCTGCCTGTCCCTCATGGTTCTAATTACCTTTTGAGATATTTTAAGACCTGTGGTATATTGTATTGGATGTACCATGGTGGAAATTTTTCTACCATGATAAGGGTATGATAAGGGTTCAATAAAAAAAATAATTTATTGAATTAATAATTTGCGAAAAATCAGTTTGTAAATTTGAGGGTGTTACAGACCTCTTATTAAAATTACAATGTAGATATTCTATCTTACTTTTACTCAAACGGAAACCTTTTGACTCCAATGTCCTTTATAACTCAAGTTTATAGTTAATCTCTTCTCTTGTCTTTGTAATAAGAACTATATCATTCGCAAAAAGCTTACATTTAGAGATTTTCTCTTGAATATGTTCAATCAAAACATCTAAGACTAGGTCAAACAAATAAGGACTTAAAGATGATCCATGATGCAATTCAATCTTTATAGGAAAGTCTTTTATTTCACCACCAAATGTTCTTATATTAGTTTTTACCCCCTCATACATGTCTTAAATAGCTCAAATATAGACAACTCGAACATCCTTCTTTCTCAATCCTTTTTGAAGTATTTCTCTCGATATACGATCATAAGTTTTTTTTTCAATTTAATGAAAACTATATGTAAATCTTTATCTTTGTATTGATACTTTTTCATTAATTTTTTTAGTAGATAAAATGCTTCTATAGTCGCCCTTTCTGGCATGAAGCCAAATTGATTATCAAAAATACCAATTTCTAATTTTAACCTATACTCAATCACTTTCCTACAATTTATTGTATGACTCATAAGGTTTTTTTTTTTTTTGAGCAAAGTATGACTCATAAGTTTAATCTCTCTATAAATAACACAACTATGAATATCTTCTTTATTTTTGTAAATAGGAACTAAAATGCTTTTCCTCCAATTGTCAAGCATTCTCTTGGACTGTAAAATCTCATTAAATAACTTAATTAGCCATCACACTCTTTTTTCACTCAAACATTTTCACACTTTAATAAGGATACAATCAGATTCATTGACTTTATCATTTATTATTTTTTTACGAGCTTCCTTTACCTTCCAATTACATATCCTTTTATAGGATGACAAATTTTATTCTCATTTAGGGGTTACTAAATCCTTTAAGTTAGTTGACAAACCTCTATCATTATTGAAATGTTTTAGAAAAGTAGGTCTTCCATATAAAAATATAAGTAATACTTTATCAAGTATCTTATATTAAGGATAAAAAAACCTTTCTAAAGGCAGCCTATACTTTATAATAAGGATTAGAGTGTGTATTTAATTGAATATGACGATGTTCAAATTCAAGTTGACAATATATATGGACAATAAATACAAATGTAAGCATGGACCACAAAAGGCTGGAAAATAAGTATAGAAACGAGAACAGTGACTTGCGGGCAGGTAAGCATGAGCGAATGTGATGCATACGTTAAGGTCCACCAAGTGAATGTGCACTGCTTGTGATAATAACCTTATCATAATCAATAAATGAAAGCCACAAATTGCATTCATCTCCTTATCCTTCTCATTATTCAAGAAACTTCATCTTTTCTTCTTTAACTAATACCCCCCCCCCCCCACTCTCTCTCCCTATCATTTTCCCACTTTCTTCCATTGATTGCCCCTCCATGCCACAAATCTTCTCCATCTTTTAATGTGAACGGAATATATTTTTTGATTATTTCTTTTGTCCTCACTTCCAACAATTTTTTTTTCAATCATCAAACCAATGCAATTATATTCATTTTGACCATTTTCATTTCTACTATCATCTTTTCTCCCACTTTCTTTGTTACTAGCACTACTTTGTTCTTCTTTTTTCCCCCCTCTAAAAACAGATTCTAGAGTTCTCTATACAGTGACATTTAATTAACTGATTAATATAGATCATCAATCATAAAACTAGATTTATCTTGTTTTATTTTTTAATGAAAGGGAATGGTCATATGAGAGCACATTACATGCTTATCAAAATGTCAACGCCAAGCTGCTTCAGTAACAATGCCACCCACCTCTCTCGTTTGAAAGAGGTTATGGGTTTTGAACATCACATTGACATGTTTGTGTGTGTACATGGGTGGATGTAGCTTCTTCTTCTTCTTTTTTTATTTTTTTATAGAAAAAGGTGAGGTGAGGGGTGACTTAAAAAAAAAAACAAACATGCTCATGAAGATGATTAGTGTAGGATTTTCATTTCAAATCTGGACCATCCTAATTAAATTTAGATGATTTGGATTTTATATTATTCTATTGTTATATTGTAGATATTTTATTACAACAGATACAAGATCTAAAATAAATATAATTTCATGATCATCATATTTTTAAAAATAACTTTATAGTTTAAAAAATTAGAAATTTAAAATTAGACCATCCAAAAATTTTTAAATGATCTAGATTTTACAAGCATCATGTGTTCAACGTTGTGAAGAACACATAGTGTGAGTTGGCAAAAAAAAAAAAAAAAGCACCTAATGTGAACCCATAGTAATTAGCAGGATCAATATCAGTTTCTATCAGGAGATCGATTGTCATATTTCTTTAAAAAAATGGGCTAACTCTTACATGTGATTCCTTGCTCAATGAATTCAAGGGGGCAGTAATACTAAAACTTGATTCAATCTCACTGGTCATACAGAGAAACACAAACATTGACAACAATGTCAATTAGGTTTGGTGCGCCAAACATTATCCAATTGGGTAAATTAAGTTCATGATCAGGAGGGTAATGAAATTTGTTGAGCGACTACATGATGAAGGCAAATAAAATGTAAAATTTCAACAGATATTTGATAAAAGTTACACTCATCTCCATCAGCGATCACCTCATCAACGTTATCATGAACATTGAAGATTGCTCAAATAATGGATCAAGCTTTTGATTTGTTGCTGTGGGCCACTCAGTTGATGCAACAATTCATGGAAATGACATTCAAAGATGGTGCCAAGTCCCAAATGACATGATTATGCAATGAGAAAACGTTAAAGGGTGATATATTATAAGTGAATTCCTTTTTCTTGATGCCAGAAAAATTTCTCAACCTTCATCCTAAAATTATAAGATAACATTAGAAAAAAATTTTATTGCAAACATAAAACAATTTCAGAAAAATAAAATTTTATTAATGATACTTTTTCAATATTATTTTTCAAGTTAAAAGAGAATTGAAATAATATTACAGCATAATGATTAAATGTGTAGAGACATTTTTGAAAGTTTATAAATGTTTTGAAAAACTAAGTTTATAAAATATTATTGTTATGTTTTATTAGTATACATAATATTTTTTTAAATTGTCTTATAATTTAGGAAGAAAGGAGCACAACCCAAGAATTTACTTAGTTAATAAAGGTGAACATATAGTGTGGACCAACCAAAAAAAAAAAAGAGAGATAGTCAAATGGCCTCAAAGTAGAACCAATAATTCAAGAATGCTGAGCTTATTCAGGGGTTGGGTTTAAAATGCTTGAGTATATAAAAAAAAAAATCATATAACCAAACCCGCCTTTTAAATCAAATTGTTAAATATTATTTTATTTTTTATTTTATCTAATTTTAATTTTAATTTTTTTAAAAATTACTATTTTCAATTTTCATCTTATTTTTATATTATTTTATTAATAATGAAAAAAATTCAAGTATTCAAGCTAAATCCATTTAAATTTGAGCTTAACCTCGAATTTCTCTATGTTTATTTGGCCAGTCCTAACATATTTTGGACTGGCCCAAATTATGACTCTACTTTAAGACTTTTATTATAGGCTAAGGCATAATACCCGAATTTTTTTTTAAAACTTCTAATATCTTTAAATTAACAATAATGCGTGAATATCAAATAATTTTATAAAAGAGACCAACCTTACACAATCTATTCAAATAGCATGACGTTGAAAGGTACCCATACATTATTGTTGATTTAACAATACCAGAAGCTTCTGGTGAAAAAATTTCATGATATTTTACACTCAAATTCTTTCATTACAGCAAACATATTTAACCATAATAGGAAATCGAAATCAAGCCATGACAGGGGTAAACAAATTTAACATATTTCAGAACCTATTTGTAGCTCAAAGTACAAAATCTAATCAGCTTGAAGCAATAAATAATAATAGTTAAAGCCATAATATGTAAACAATTGACCAAATTAAGCATAACGATAGTTCAAAATTTCATTAATACAAGTAGGTAAAACTCCAAAAGGTAACGTAATGATATAAAATTTATAAAAGCAACAATTGATTAGCCAACTAGGTCACATTAAATGGGATGGATGAAGTCAAAAATGAATCCATCATAGGAAAAGTTACCCTACTTGTTATAGCTGAGAACTTGACCTTGCAAGCACTGAGCATTCAAATTCAGATTCATTTCGTGTGCGGACCAGAAATTCAGCAGAAATTAAAAGATAACTACAATGCTGTGATGCACAAATGAGTTCACAAATTCGACGACCTGAACTCATACAAGACGGCAATGTGATAATTCAAACAATAGAAATAGAAAATCAAGGAAACATGGTTCCGGATTGATGATCAGGCCCACAGTTATCCTCCTCCTTAACAAGAGTCAATGATGAGAATAATGAAACCCCGCAGGTTTGCTAGTAGAATGTGCATCTGAATTGACAAAATCACTCACTTTTTGCCACAAATGATTCACCCTTTTTTAGCCAGTTTATGTACTGCTCTTGCTCTCTTCTATGCAGGTGGTGGAGAAGGAACATGATCAGGTTTTCTTTAATTCCCTTGTCTATCAAATAGTCTTTGATCGAATCTTGCAACTTAGGGTCCAATTCGCTTCACATGGACATCATAGACAAGACAAGAAAATAGAAAACTATCATTAAAAAGATCCAAACACAAAGATGATGCATTAAGATCAGCTTGTCAAATGACCGAAGAAGCAAACAAGGGCAAGTTCATCTGCTTGTTTTGTGTCTAAAGCAACTTTCTACAGAGCATTAAGTAGTGAAACACTTTCATTATAATCTAGAAAGAACTATGATGAATCAGATACTGTTGTCAATGAGAAGATTTTAAGTTCTGACCTTAACTGTTACTTTTACAATGCTTACTTTTGTCAATGTGAAGACTGTGTCTTACACAATTACTTTTATCAAACTGCAAATAGCAGTGAGATAAAATTAAACAAGAGAGCTCAGAGTATAGGTTAGATAACATAAGAAATTCAAGAAGGTTGAAACTGTATGGTTTTTAGTAAGAACATAAAATATCATGAAGCCAAAATGATGTTGGAATACAAACATCAGTTGAAGGCACAGTTTTCAAATTCAGCAGAGCTAGATTCATGACGAGTAAGCTCAGAAAGATATTTGATAGCTATAAGTTTACAGTAATATTGGTCACAGCATGTTGTTTTAAAGTCCACAATTCATTTGTTAACTAAGGCAATGGAAGACAACTGAACAGTTTGGCAGAGAGGGCTTCAAGGTAAATTCTGCAAAGGACAAGCCCATCATATAAAAATGAAGGTACAGAAGAACTAAACAAAATTTATTAGTTAATGGAAGTTCTATAAAGAGTAGAAGAGATAAGAGGAGAGGTTAGAATAAGCTGAGTACGCCAAATAATCCGACAGAAGCAAATTAGATCAGTTAAAAAAAAAAAAGGGTGGGGAGGCATTTAGAATAAGTAAACCTTCCACATCAATCTAACATATCAGGAACACTGTATACTTAACATAAATCCACTTCTTCCTGAAACAGAAGAGTCATTTCCTTTAACTGACTCAGTATTCACTAAGCACGGCCTATTGGCCTTTAAAACTCTAAAGCCTCCCAGACTCTACCTTGTCAACAGAAGAGTCATTTCCTTTAACTGACTCAGTGTTCACTAAGCACGGCCTATTGGCCTTTAAAACTCTAAAGCCCCCCAGATTCTACCTTGTCCTTCCAAAAGCTAAGTCAAATGCAGAAATAGCATTGACATTTTTGTCCAATTCCTATAGAGACATAAGTGGAATTATTTAACAAGTTACCCTGAAGATGAATGAAATATGCAAAAGCAAACCACTTTTTGGCTGGATTATGCACATTAACACCTGGAGTGTTGCCTAAGCCAATCGAGTAAAACTTTAAAACAGAGGACAGATGCATATAAACAAGAGAGAAAGATAACCCAAGCAGATAAGCACGTGTGGTGTCTTACCTAAATTGGGGGCCTCTGTAAATGGAAGACCCCAGACATCTTGGTGATGCGAGATAATAAGCACTCTTTATGTCAAAGTCTGGTTCATTGATAGATTTCTCAAAAGCACGACAGTTGAATTGCAACATGGAGCTCAGAGCTGGCTTTTTTACAAATACATTCATAAGAATATCCCTCGGAAATGTACCCCCTCTTTCATATGTAGATGCTGGGCCAAGAATCGCTGAAACCGCAATCTCCTCACATGAATTGCATCTTTTCCGCAAAACTACATACATCTTGGAATGTGGTGAATCCCAGTCCAGCAAAAAGTCTCCCAAGGAACCAAATATTTTATCAGCCTGTATCCATGACGGCGCATATATAACCCAGCAAGTTCTTAGATAAACACACAACTATGTAATCATGTTTATGTACAGACAAATACATTCTTGAAATGTCCATGATGAACCATACAATGCACCCGCAAGCACAGTTATATCCATCCTCTCTGTGTGCTACAAAACGTGGGAACTAGCAATTCACATCAACTAGAATCATTCCAAAGAGTGGTTCAGAAACCAGCAGAACCATATTACACCAATACCATTGACCATTCTGGGTCTAGTGATCGATGTTGAGTATTCATCAACTAACGTGCAAAGAGAACTAGACTCTTTCCAGCTCCAAAGGAGCGTAACGAGTACAAAATTGCTGCGAAGGTTTTATGAAAGAAGATTGGGAACAAAAATACGGAGGCTACTATTTTTAAAGCATTGGGATTTCAGAAGAATAAAAGAAGAATCAACAGAGACAGAGATAGAACCTTGAAGGGATTAGAATTGAGTTCGAATTCGATCTCGGATTTCAAGACCTTGAGTAATTCCAGGTCTTGAACAGCTTCCAAACCCTTTCTCAGCTCTTTCAACTTCGGCGCCATGCTTTCTCTCTCAAACAACATGAATTCGTAGCCTAATGCCTTCGATTACCCCTCGGCTGCAGGTGTTTAATTTTCCTTTGCTTTGCCTTTTTTTTTTTCTTTTTTCTTTTTTCTAATAGCAATTATATGTAAAATTTTCTATAATCAATATTAGGAAAAATTAATGTACAGATTCTGATTCTCATAAATTCCTTTGTTCATTAAACATCAGATTGGTGCGTCTCTCCTGGAGGAGACCCTTTCATTTCTAGCATCCTGATCATACATAGTTCTGCAAAAATCTTCGCCTATTCTTTTTCATAAGAATCTTCACCTATATAATTTATTTTATTTTAATTAAAAACTTATAATTTGTCCACTAAATTTATTAATTTATGAATGTTATAATTATTAAAGAACCTGTTAAAGCAAAAACACTTTTAAAATTTACAGAAAAATTGATTAAATATTTTTAGCCAAAAAAGTAAGAAAATTATAGTTAATACAATGCTTTTTATTAAAATTATATACATATTAGATAACATAACTTAATTATATAAATTTTGAATAATAAAAATTAAGTAATTAATGGTAAGGTTATATAATATTTTAATAAAAATATAAAAGTTTTTTATTTCATTTCTTAAAACAATTAAGGATTTTAATGTTTATAGATTAATATAGTTAATCAATCAAATTATAAAGACTTGATTAAAAGATAAACTATAGAAACTTAATTTAAAATGAAGAAAATTAGAAGACCTACAAATTAATTTTTTCTATTATATATATATATACATACATACATTTATTCCTGACAAATATTCATAATAAAATATAGTTATGCAATCAATTTTCAAATTTCTATTAGAAGAGTTGCTCATATTAGTGTCCAGCGGTGATATAAGGAAACACATTTGAGCAATAAAACAATTCTAATTAAAAAATATTTAATCTCATCTTTTCCACATATATTTTGTCCCTTGTTTATTCAATGGGAAAAACTATATAAACCTTGTACCCGTAAGGTAAGAAAGGCGTTTGATTAGACAAAAGTATAAAAAATTAAGTCCATAAATATATATATATATATATATATCTATATATATTTGTGATAGAGGAGGAAAAGAAAACAAAGACAGAAAAAAACAAACAAAAAAAAAAAAGGAAATAAAAAACGAAAAGAACGACAGAAAACTAAGGAGGTCTCAGCGCTCTTCAAGTTGAGGAATGTCATCTGGGTTCAAAGCGTAGCAACCAGAGGCAAGAGAAAGCTCATTTTGCTAGCTAGTCAGCTTCAATGTTGGATTCACATGAGATGTGCTCGACCCTTGCTTGCCAACTCTTTTGTATAAGTTCTGAACTAGAATTTTCATTTTGCATAGGTGCAGGTAGAAGCAAAAATTAGGGCAGGTTTGACCTTTAAGGGTTTAAGTCTTAAAATCTAATTATTTAAAATTTAACATGATTATGAGGCTCGGCCCTTATTTAAAGGACTTAGGGCCAGGCTCTTAAGCTCTTTTTTTTCAAAAAAAGTTAATATTTTAATTTAAATAAAATATTTTAAAATTTAACATGAAACAATTCAAAGTCGTACATAAAATTCAACATGAAATTTGATAAAGATTTAAAATTTTAAATTTAAGATGAAGATTAAAATCTTCATTAATGTAAATCTAAATCCTTTCCTTAGGGGTGTTTAGCTTGGACCCGTCTTGATTGGCCCGATATTGTCTCGATCATATTGTGACTAGTCTTGTCCTGGCTCAAAAATAATTATATTGGGATACGAGATTACCATCGGGATATCCCTTCCATTCTTGAATATTATATATATTATTTTTTATTTTAAATATATTAATTATATTAATATAATTCATGCTTATATTAATTATATCAATTATAATTTTAATACTTGTAATTTTTATTTAAAACTAAAATTTTTTTATATTGATAATTTTAATAATATGGGGTAAACATAACGATATCTTTTTTTATAATATATTATTATATTAATATAATTATTCTTATATCTATCTATTTAATAACTTTTATTTATAATGTGTTTTTCTTTGCTTTTTATTTAGAAGAGTAATTAGCTTAGTACATCTCTACTAAAGTAGAAGAATAATGATTTGATGTTGTGCTTGACTTGCTTGTTGTTACTAATCTTATAGCATAAAAATCACTTGTATTTGCTATTATATTGTGTAATTGTGATTAATATAATTCAATAATTGACTTTAAATTATTGTGATTTATGTACTTGTGTTGTTTTGATTTTAAACTTAATAAATTATATGATTTAAAATTTTAATGAATGTTATTATCCAATCTTTCTTCGATATTATCCCATTTATCAGGACAGTTTAGACGTTCCGATCTTATCCCGGTCCCGTCCTGACTCTTAATGGGACGGGACAGGACATGGGATCAAAATTTAGTCCTGATCTTTTTTTCGAAATAGGACACGGGACAAGATATCTCGGTCTTGTCCTGTCCCGTGAACACCTCTATTTTTCCTCATCATCTAAAAATAAAATATTAGATCCCTCAGATGTAGATTTACTTGTTAAAGTGGATATGGAGATTCAATGTCAGTTATCTCTACAACTTTTTGTTCAATACCTACAATAAATATAACCAAATTATGTCATTATCAATCAAAAGTGTGTGTGTGTGTGTGTGTGTGTGTGTAAAATAACTAGGTTTATTAGGGTTTGAAGGGTCACTTAAGACCGAACCTTTTTTTTGCAGGACTTATTAGGACCAGGCCTTCAAATTCGGTTACTATAAAAAATTTAATTTTTAAAACTCAAACCCTTATTTAAACAGGGCCTCTAGATTTAGCCTTTATTCTCAACTCTCGATGCAGGTCCATAGTAGCTCCTTGTATCAAGTGGAAAGCGTCATTGTAGGAGTCTAAGTATAAGCAGATCCTTCAAAACCCTCTATCCCAGCCATACCTTAGCTCCATTAAAAACGCCTAAACTTTCCCTTTTAAAGCATCTCCTTTATGCAACTTCAGCATAAAAGCTCTAAGATATTCCCATGTTCATCCTTGAATATACCACCACAACTGGTAGATTAGGTTTGGCATGAAAATGCCCCGTCGACAAACAGCTTGCTTCATCTTCACTTCCTTCCAAGTTCCTAGGGGCTATAAACTCCTTTTGAGCATGTAAATTAATCATGTTCATTTTCCTATACGTGTTCTTCATACAACACAGAATGGCTACCATTTAAGAGTCGATGGCTGCACTCGAGGTAACTCGATTATGGAAGATACATTTAATATTTCTTCAGCGCCAAATCAACCAGCATACTACAGAAAACCAATTACCCCAGCCTTCTTCCAGTTCTCCTACATCCTCCATGATGTTATAGTTGCACCACTCTTAAAGGTGAATGTTAAAAAAACTAATCAATTTTTTTAGGCCGGAGGAACCTCAACCAGATCTTTCACAGTGTTGGGCTATCTCTAAAAACATATAGGGCACCTTCATCCTCTGAGTGGTACCATGTACACACCGCGTTCATATGTAACTTCCACCTCACATGCACCTGGTTTGTCATAAGTCGGTCATGTAACATCAATCACATGAAAGATTTGCACTGGTGTGGTATTTTTAATTTCCAGATAGTCCATAAATCTTCTTATTTATTTACATATTTGACCATTATTTTTCTTCAAATATTGTTTCAAAATTTTTCACCAAATTTGTATATTAAGTACGCCAAAAATATATTTTCAGGATATTTAAATTGGAAAATCTTTTTTTCAAGAAAATTCAAAACTCTAAGGAGTTTGTGCATGGCCATGTAAGGGTGAGCAAAACTGAACCGAAATCAAAAATTGAATCGGATTTTTATTATTTAATTCAGTCTATTTGATTTTTCAATTCAATTCAGTTTTTTATTTAAAAATATTTCAGTTGATCGGTTGGTTTGGTTAGTAAAATTTAAAATCGAATAGACCGAACCAACCGAATTATATATAACTTATTAATTCATAAATTATTTATTTTATTATTTTAATTTATATTTAAATAAAAATAATAAAAATGTAAAAGTTGAAAGACACCTTAACCCATAAGTCATAACCCGCCTCAGTCTGGATAGACCATAGCCTCAGCCCTTACTCAGCCTGTCTCAACCTCTCAAACTCTCAACTCTCAGATCTCAACTCGCAAGTTGTCTCTCGCCGTCGCATAGCCTCACCGGTCGCTCTCTCTCATCACTTATCAGTCATCTCTCTCGTAGCTCAGGTCATCACAGCCTCACTCGATTGCCCTGTCTTAACCTCTCAGACTCTCAACTCTCAGATTGCAAGTCGTCTCCCTCAAGCCATTGCCGTTCGCATCTCTCACATCTTATCGTTCACATCTCAAGCTAATTATTCACAGCTCGCATTTTCTATCTCTGTTCTCGCATCTCAATCTCTCTCTTGCCCTTACTGTCACTAAACTCACTGAGACACTGAAGGCAAGAGGCTGCTTAGATCTGTGAAACACAGAACCCTAAGTTCGAAGGATGATCTGCGTAAAGCATTTTAACAAGTTTTTTGCTTCTTCCCTCGAAATGTAGCTCTTCCTCTCTCTCCCTTTGATTTGGTTAGTTCTCGTTGTCTTGATCTACCATGCCCAAGATCTAGTTGTTTCATAAGAGTTCTAATTGCTTCCTCTGTGAGTCCACACTATGAACTTCATGCTTGATTATGCATTGTTGAGGTTCTTTGGGATTCATGTCGTTATTAGCTGTGAAGTTCACTATAGCTTGACAGTGAGTTTTCTTTAGTTCATCTTCCGTCTATGTCTTTACTTCTTTGCTCTTTTTTGTTTATGTGGTGTGTTCCTTTCAAGCCAAAATGCAACAAAAGGAAATGTTATTGGGAAGTTAATTGACTGCTTGTGTGTTCTTTGCTCTGTCTCTACTCTGTATTTATTTATTTTTTATTGCTATGTGTTCTTAAAGATGTCTTCTCAAGCTGAAGCTATGGCTACAAATCAAAATGAAGTTAACAAAGAAAACAAAGCCCCAGTAGCATCGAGTGGAACTAAAGTAGTGAGTTCCTTGCAAAGGATGAAGAGGAAAGCCATAAGGCCAAGATCTGAGGTCTGTGATCATTTCACCAGATATGTGAATGAGTATAGGGAGACCAAAGGTAAGTGAAACTACTATGAAAAAGAATTTTTTAGTGATCCTAAAAGAAATAGTACTACTGCACTAAAGAACCATATGACAATATGCAAGAAACGACCTGAACTAGAAGAGCCTAGGCAAACACATTTAAATTTTGGTATAAAAGATGATGCTATTGTTCTTGCTACTTGAAAATTTGATCAAGATACTATTAGGAAAAGTTTGGCTACTATGATTGTGACTGATGAATTGCCATTTAAATTTGTTGAGGGGATAGGATTTAAGAGGTCTATGTCTCATGCTCAACCAAAATTTAAGATTCCTTTTAGATGGACTGTTGCTCGTGATTGTTTTCAACTTTATATTGATGAAAAAAATCAAATTCAAGGATTATTTAATCAATAGTAAACAAATAATTTGCCTTACTACTAACACTTGGACTTCAATTCAAAGAATTAACTATATGTGTATTACAGCCCATTTCATTGATGCTGATTGGAATTTGGTTAAAAGGATTTTAAATTTTGTTCCAATATCTAGTTATAAGGGAAGGGATATTGGAATGGAAATAGAGAAATATTTGCTTGAATGGGGAATTGAAAGAGTATTTATTATTACTGAGGATAATGCCTCTACTAATGATATTGTTGTGTCTTACTTGAGAGAAAAAATTAATAATTAGGGCTATTTTGTTATGAGCTGTTGGTTTTTACATATGAGATGTGTTGCTCACATTGTTAATTTGATTGTGGTTGATGGGTTAAAAGAAATAAGAACTTCTGTAAAGAAAGTAAGGGGGTTGTTCATTTTGTGAGGCAATCTCCACTTAGGATGAAAAAATTCAAAGAGAGTTGTAAAGATGAGAAAATTCCAAGTAAGCAATTGTTGTCTTTAGATGTCTCTACTAAGTGGAACTCCACCTATTTGATATTGGAAACAGCTTAAAAGTTCGAGGCTGCCTTTAGAAGGTTTGAGGATAAGAACTCTTATTTTAGGATTGATCTTGAAAGTGGGGAGGGAGTACCGAATGTTGAAGATTGGGCAAATGTAAGAAAGATGACAATGTTTTTAAGTCATTTCTATGATTTGACTTTGCATTGTTTTTAGTTCTTCACTTGTCACATCCAATGAATTTTTTCATGAGATTTATATGTTATTTTGCCTTTTGGATGAGTGGAGAAAATGTGATGATTTAGAGTTTTCTTCAATGGCTTATAAAATGAAAGAAAAATTTGATAAGTATTGGGGAGATCCTTTAAAAATCAATAAATTGATGTTTGTGGCTGCTATTCTTGATCCTCTGTATAAGCTTGAGTGGGTGCAATATTCACTTGATAAGACGTATTCTAGTGAGGTTGGAAAGCAAGTTGGAGGGCAATTGAATGATTTGCTCATTTCTTTGTCTAATGAATACAAAGAGCATGTCTCTCCTTCAAAGCAAGGTGAAAAGGAGCAATCATTTAATTGCTTCGAATCTAATGAAGATGATGACCCAGCTGTGAAAGTTAAAAAAATTCTTGAATATGAAAAGAAAAAATTCATGAGTGAAAGGCTTGGTGGGAGAACTAGTAGGACAGAAGTTGACAAGTATTTGGCTAAAGAAATTGAGATGAATAAGGATGATTTTAATATTTTAAGTTGGTGAAAGTTGAATGAGCCTAGATTCCCCATTCTCTCTCAATTGGCAAGGGATGTTTTGGCTATCCCAATTTCTACTGTTGCTTCTGAGTCTACTTTCAGTACTGGAAGACGTGTGCTAGATTCATTTAGGAGCTTTTTAAGTCCTAAAGTTATGCAATCTCTTGTTTGTGGTCAAGATTGGCTTCGCCACTCACTTTCGGTTCTAGTAAAAGAGAAGATAGATGATGCATAAAAGATTGAGAGAAGTGATTTATTATGTGTTATATTGTTTTAAATTTAATGTTGAGTTATTGATTAAATGATATTATTATTAAATACTTTATTTATGTTTAGATCTCCAAAAAATTGCTATAGAAGCGAATGTGGATGTACTATGAGCCTTTGTTCTTAATGACTTGAGGTAATTATTTATATGTTAGCTTTTTAATTTTTAAATTTAATGATTTGAGGCACTGTGGCTGTTTAATTTTAATATTTAAAGTTATCTTCTTCTTTCTATCAATATTATATGGCACTGTGACTGGATTAAAGCAAATCTTCTATAAATTTTTAACAATTCATTCAACTTTATCTGCTTCTTGCTAAATAGTTTAAGCAAATCTATATTTTTTTTAGTTAACCATACTGGTAACCGTTTCTGTATTTAGGCGGTAGATTACTTAAAACTGAAGTTATTTGTGTGAAATATGTTGTGTGATTGACATCTCTCTTATATGAAAGTTCTACACATATTTTGCTACATCCCTTATTGTTTCATATTTACTTGTCAGAAGCCATGACCCATGATTCACTTTGGAATACTATTATGTTTATTATTTGGTAGTTATGTAAGCTTTGTTGTCATGCAATGGTTCTTTTCATGATGATATGAATATTTTTTTTGTTACGTCAACTGTATTCCTCTATGTTGACGTTGTATTTTTATGCTAGCGCTAGGTATAAATAATTCTTTGCATCTTCCAATCATGGCAGCAACAGCACCTGAGGGATCACAGTTTGATGCTCGTTAATATGACACCAAAATGAATGAATTGTAAGAACTATAATCTTATTCCTTTAACAAGTTATAAGCATATTGAATCTAGATTTTGCTTATGATTTGTCTCCACATTAGGCAAATCATTGCAATTGAATGCTCATAATCTCTACTTGATATTGGTAACTTCTTGATTTCAGACTTTAAGCTAATGGGCAGGATTTCTTGGCTTCTTATATGATTTTTACTTGTATAATGTAGGTTGCAAGATGCTAGTGCTATGGTACTCCATTTACAAAGGCTGCTCATTTTATTTTGTTTTACTAATCTGGATATTTGATTATTGTAATGGTTTAATTTTAATATTTTGAAGACTTATTGGTTTCTATAACTGGATTATATGGTACTGTGGCTGTTTAATTTTAATATTTGAAGTTATCGTCTTCTCCCTATCAATATTATATGGCACTTGGCTGGATTAAAAATTCTGTCAGCAAGCACATGTTAAAATGGGCTTTATAATATTTGGGCTTTATGTCATATGAGTGTAATTAAAATGGGCTCATATTAAAAAAATGAATAGAAAAAAAAGCTCAATTTTGTAGTGTTATTTTTTTTAATATTTAAAAAAATGAACTCAATTTCAAGTAGCCCAATATAAACTAAAAAACCGAATTAACCGACTGAACCGAATTATCAAATTTTGGTTCGATCCTTGTTCGGTTTGATTTATTTGTTCGGTTTGATTCGATTTTCATTTTCAGTATTGTTCGATTAATCGATTCTGCATATTTTGAGATCGAACCAAATCGAACCGATCGATATTCACTCCTATGGCCACGTCCATGTTAGGTTCCAAATTCCTTCTCTCTCTCTTTCTCTTCTCAATTTAACTTACAAAGACAGTTCACCAAAAAAAAAAAAAAAAGTCGGAGACGGAAATCTGGGACTAATTGTGGTGAACATGTTTGATTACGATGACTTGATGTCTTTTACATTTCATGAGCACTTCTCGAAGTGAATATGTCTTCACAACGCCCATATATCGCATAATTTTCTAATTTTTTAAGACATTTTTTTCAGTGGAAAGACCGAAAGACAAATATTGAATATAAAAAAAAAATATTAAATGCACTTAATGAAAGGGAAAATATCAATCAAAGACTCTCAAGGAAATTTATATCAATTAAAAATTATGTCAAAACTTAAATAGATACTTATTAATTTAAATTAATTTTTTATTAATAAATATTCATTTAAATTTTAACAACTTATTTAAAAGTAACAATAATTTATTCAAATCTTTTTTTTTTCATTTAAATTTTAACAACAATTAATCCTTAATTAATATAAATTTTTTCTGACTATCCTCCATCGCCATTTTCCCTTAATGAAATTTTGTGATCATGAAATGCGCACCTGTTTTGAAGGTAGTATAGTTCTCTCACTAACAGCAATCCACTAGCACAGCAGACGTAGGAATTAACCATAGCTACTGCTGCCACGTCCTTTACCTTCTCCACGTACTACTTTTTCCTTTTTTTGGGGTAATTCTATACATACTACTTTACTTACATTAATAACAATATTTGTCACTATAAATTTGCTTTATAAAAAAAAAGGTTCATAAAATCCATTCAAAAACACTTCAACCAAAAACACCATGAGAATCCTCGGAAGAGTTAGGTAACAAAAATGGGCATAATCACTGCACCATGATAAACAAAAAGCCAACATAGCTATTATAAATGGCAGAAACAAGGACTTGGGGATTGATCTATCTATGTTCTCTTCCGCTTATACCTCTGCCTCAACTCAGGAAATTGAAGAGGGACGGGAAGGGTGGCATAAAATAATTTATTCTCACGAATAATCTTGCAACCCAGGTTCTCATAACGTTGTCTAACAGGTACCGAGCTCATCTTCAGGTCCTTTGCTATATCTGTGTAGTTTGTTCGAAACTGATCAGAGAATAGAGTGAGCACCAAGACATAACTGATGAGAAGATTAATCTTCTCTGAAGGTAGCCATTTTGATTCAGGAACTGTAAACATTGATGAAAACTTGTGATGCACGATGCTTGGGATTTTGTGGGCCCTAGTAGATGCAGAACAATTAACAGCTTGCTGTTCTTTGAACTTTATGAGATGATTGATGTATGAAAATATGCGACAGACCTTCCTCTTCTCTGACTCGTCCTATTAAAAACACACACACAGAGACATCAGATCAGATATCAGCTGAAAAAGGGACAAAACCAGAAAGAACTTTCAGAACATTGATTTAAAACTAGAGTTCAAAGAATTGAAGAGTTTGGCATTTCTCAAAAATGTTGTGGGGTGTGACCTCCACAAGATCTGAGGGTCCTACATGTCACATGAAATCTGAAAATGAGTCACACTGTTCATGAATAATGAATTTGTATTAGACATAAATTTTTATACTATATATAGAAGATACCCAACATTTTCCACCTTTCAATATTGGACAATATTAACTAGGAGAGCAAAACAACTACTGATCCAAACAAGTGGCCAAGAAGCAGCTGATACACAAGTTTATATGGGGGCGGAATTAGGATTTGGTTGTAAATTACCTGAATCTTCTTTAATTCATCTATCCTGTTGCAGATAAATGTTGGGTAACCTTTGAAGTCTGCTTCATTCTGTTGCAAAAGATAATAAATATCTTCGAGATAATCCCACTCTACGTTAGGTATAATCTTTTCCAAAGGATATGCCTGCTCGGGTGCAGTGGCAGAAGCATCATATGGGGGAATATTCCGGGAAACATGAGCCTCAGTACTTTCAAGAGCTTCCTTGTTTACAACAATATTTTTCAATTTCACATCCAACTCCTTTTGAGATAAAGGATCGCCTTCTTGTCTGAGAGCATGTATCTTTTTAGCCTGCAGCAAAATGCAAGTTGTAAACAGTTTACGTAGTGCTAAAGAGATATAATATGTTGAGCTCGTTCTTATTTTCTTCAATGGAGTAATGAGTAACGTCTCATGCCACAAACTTATTTTATTTGTGACAAGAAATAATCTTCACCAGAAACAGCAGCTTCATGGATATCAATGGGCTTAATAGCAGCACTTTAGAGTTCCAACAAGCATAGGCATCTCGTTATTCATTCACATAACATTGCTAATATCTTTTTTTCTTTTCCTTCTTTCTTTCTTTCTTTTTTTTTTTTTTTTGTATACACATTTCTAATATCTTGTACAAGGTGTAGTAAATAACTAAAAAACACATAATAATACAATAGCATTTTTTACAAGCAGAATCAATTGATATTCAGTTAACCATAAGGCTTTATAAAGTAGCTCTTCTTCTAGGTTCACAGCCACCACATAAGTGCTACTTTATAAACTAACACAACACAATGGCAAATCTGGGCCTCATAAACACACATACAATTGCACGTATGACAAACAAGGCTGATAATTCCATTCGTACTTTCATTCCATAGGATTAGGCTTTCAAAAGATTGGTACACAAGGAGAAAAAAATGCTTATTCCATTCTGATGCTTAATTCAGCACAGGCATGTCACCATTCGATCCCAAAGCAGGAAAGGGCGAAAGGCTACTCCCCGCAACTAAAATTGAATTACCCTTTTTATTCTCCACCGTTATTGATGTTTATTTAGATATAGTATGATTTGCATGCTACAACGATTCCATGTGCCACATTTAATAAAAAATAAAACAAATAGAAACAAACATGGGAATGGGAATGACCAAGTTGTTCCATGTCATTCTCATTGTCCTCTAATCCTCTTGAACGTCATTTCAAAAGAAACCAAATGATTAACTTGTATCAACAAGTGAGAGCGTACCATTTTTATTGACGACTTTGATCCCCATAAAATGGTAGTATATCTAGCTCTGTCTGCCCTCTCCTTTGCTGTCAGCTCTACCGCAGTTGAGCTTTCAGTTTCTTTATCAGAATATTCTAAGCCTCTCACTCTAGGATCCAATCTGAATATCTGAACAAGCAGTACCCAAGTTATACGTTTACTTCCTAAAACTACCACTTAGCTGGAACATTATTACTTAAAAAAGGGGGAAGCATGCAATTTTACAATTACCTTGTTGGCAGCAATGGGCACAACCTTCAGGGCATGGGTTTCTTTATCAAAAACCCCAAGTGCATACATGCACTTCTGTCCAGCTGTAGCCTCACCAGAATAATTTGTGCCAACAAAATCCACTGATGACCCATTAGGGCTGACCACAAGCTGCAACCTTTTGGGCATTTTCTTATTTCGATAAACCTTAATATTTGGAGAACCCAGCCCAGATTCAGAATCATTGTCTAAAGCCTTCTGAGGATCGAACCCAGAAGGAAAATACCCAACAATGGGAGGGATTTTATCTGGGTGATCATGGAGGATTTGCACCTTCGCCTGCACTGGCAGGCGCTCCTTTTTCTGCTTTTTCTTTGCCTTCTTTGCTAGTGGCTCTAACCCCTTTGGATGCTCTGCGTTTTCAACTTGAGATTTTGTGTCTTCAGCATCTGAGTCCATTGACTGTGAAGGGGGGGGAACAGGACACAAGATGTTTCAGGCTTTTAGACACATATATCATGTAAGGTAGGGCTGCACGTGGGCAGGGCCCTTGCCGAATGCCCAGCCTGAAGGATGAACAGGTTGCATTTTTGCAACCTGTTGCTCAGCCCTGCCCACGGGATGCCCAAACATTTCAGGCTGGGCAACATCGGGCCACCCTGCCCAAGTGGTGGTGCCCTGTCATGCCCATATGTGAAGAAAACTTCAATAAACCAAACCTGATAAACAGCATTTTAAGAAGCACATGTATTCAATAATTTCACAATAAATATAAAAACTACACTCCAGATTCACATATCATCATTCCATAATTCCATAATTTCACATATCATCATCCATACTCCTTAAATCCACAGCATAAAGTAAAAGCCTCTAGCTTGAAATATGAATAATACTACCATAAGTCTTGACACAATATCGATAGTCGAACACAAAGCAACATCCATAATCCATTAAAAACAACATAACATAGCTTATAAGTCCAAGTGTCCAACAAGGCAACAAAAAGCCTGTAATTAAAGCCTCCAAGTCCATATGGCCTGTGATCAATCTCCTCAAAGTACACAAAAGGATGGAATGAAACAAATATAAAGAAGAAAAGAACCAAACATCAAAGAATTATTGGGCAAAGGACTTATAGAAAGAAATCTGAAACAGAACGAAACATCATCCACCACAAATCTGAAATTAAGTTTAATAGAAAGATTCCTTAACCTTTACCGGAACTCTGTGTCTTGCATGGATCATCGCAGGAGCAAGTGGCAAATATTTAGTATTATTTTGGGCATATAATATCACTATCTTTAGAGAAACATTTTAGTATTATATCAGCATCAACATATGTCAAATACTTGGAACAAGGTTCTCAAAATCACAATATGACTGTTATGAATCACAATTCCAATGAGGTTTTAAAACTTGAGGACTAAATTATTCTGTCACCCAATTGAATTACATAAGAATAATAAACAAAATATAAAGTGCAGTAAAACCCACAAGTAACTTGTGATCAACATGAATTACACACTTCAAGTAAATGCACCCTGATGAGATAAAAATTTCATCCTTGAGCCAAATTGGCTTCCAATGTAACCTTTTTCTCCTCTTCTTTTTACACTAAAGTGTCGTTTGATTTATAATTTATTCATTCATTATTTATATATTGTTGCTAATTATTTTTTTCCTCAAATATATGTTTACGTGCTGTTGAAGATGTGTCTTTTATTTTGGATTCACTGAATGGTATGAGAGTTGAAGGAGATGTTTCTGATCTTCAACATGGAGAATTTAATTTAAAAGATCTGTATGACAACTAAATGTTGCAATTTTTTAGTTGAATGTGGACTACTAGACTGTATGAAAATGTTGTGCTGTGCGTGTATGACTTTGAGTGGGGATGTTTACTTTGTTGTTTGTATTAGACTATTAGCGTGACAATGTTAGACTGTACTTGGATTATGTGATTGAATTTGTGTTTGTATGACTTTGAAGTTTAAAGTATGTGGGAGTTATTACTTTATTAGCAACAAGTTTCCTTGAGTTTGTCAATTTAACTATAATTTTTAGTATATAATATTTAAATTTAAAATATACTAATTCAATTACAACAGTCCGACCTTTGAACCATAAACTAGTAGCTCAACCTGTTCTTGACTTAGAGCAATTACTTCACATTCTGCTTCTAAGTTATCAACATGCTCTTAAGACGTGTCTGGATCATCAAGCTTACTCTTATTTGCCCATGACACTTATTTCATGGATTGTACCATCATATATGGCCAACATCATGTGGAACCTTCTTGCAAGAAGTTATATTCCCCAAAACACCTGCAAGGTATTGCTTCATCCTATTTATCCCACCTCCTCTAAACAATGATGAGCAATGAAGGCAGGTATACACACAAGTTTTTCCCTCTTTTTCAAATGCAAAATGCTCCAATGCAGGATCACTCTTCCCCTGAAGAGTTGGTGTAGGTGATACTTGAAGGATAGAGGCAACACTATTTTGGTTAGAACCAACGGCAGTCAGTGGAGTAGAACAAGAAGTTGGAGTAGAAGCAGAGGCCATAGGCGGACCTATACTAAACTCAGGGGGGACATCTGTCCCCACTGAAATCTTTGAAATATGCATAGTTTATGCATTGTCCTTTTAATTGTTGTTCCGGATACTTTGCCACAACTCGAGCCAAGTCATTTACAAGATCATACATCACAAGTACCTTGAGAATTTCCAAATTTGATGATAATATAAAAAGATTAATAAACAGAATGACAAAACACAACAAATCCAACATTGCGAAAGAAAAAAAAAAACAACAACAATATCCAAATCATACACGTCGCTGGTGAACAAAATGAAAAGGGAAGAAGTATAACAGCCAATTACACACCATTCAAGCAAAAACTAGCTCAAAAAAATAAACTCAATAGGTAAATATTCCCGAATCTAAAGGTGTCAATATTCAACGATTACACGACCAGATTCCAAGCCAAATTAAAATGAAAAGTTTAAAACAAAGCAAGAACAGCGGGAACAGATGACGCGGGGAAAAATTCAAATATATATTCAAAACACCAGATTAAACAAAACAACCTCACCGGACTTCGGGAGTAGAAAAAGCCCGAGGGTTCGAACCTTCTTCACTGCTTGCCCGAGAACAACCACGCAGCGCTGACAACTGTGGACGGCGTCCGACGGAGTATGTGATGCTTGTTCGTCGACTGAAAGAGAACTGGATCCGCTTCTCACGAGCAAGGGTTTTATCGGGGCTTCTAATTAATTTTAGGAAGAATTGGGTATGGGCCGAAAATTAATTATTGAAATAGCAAAATTAATTACTCTAAATAATGAAATTTATTTTTATAAATTTATACCTAACTCTTTTATATTAAATATATTTATTATAATTATAAATTTTATGTGATAGATCTTATAACTCATAACTTTAAAATTTTTTATCTTTAATATCTTAATGAATAGCATGAAAGAAATTTCTTGTTGTTAATATAAGTTGTACCCTTTAAAAGTTATATAATACACCATTATATATTTCTTTATAACTTTATAACATTAGGATGGTACTTGAATGGTTGAAAGTTTATAAATAGAGATCATATACAAAGTATATATACATAAGTGAATGAGAATTTTTTTTATTATTTTCTCTCCAGTTATTGTATTATCTTATTCTTCTTTATTATTTATATTAGCTACATATCATAACAATATATTTTTATTTTTTTCATTCTCATTTTTTTCAATTTTTTTAAATAATTAAAAAGAATCTTAATCTTACACCATATTGAATAGAATTATAGGAGATAAATGAAATTGATTAAAAAATAAAGTTAATAAAAATTATATATTAATACATAGTCTTACGTTATATTAACGCAAATATACATGAATAGTGAAGATAATGATTAAAAATATATAAAAATTATGAAATGATAAAATAATTATTAGTTTACAAATTTTTATATCATACATAGATAAATTAAACATTTACTAATAACAAAATATAAATTTTGATTAAAAAAATTTATCTTTTATAAATATACAAACGTAATAATTATAAAAAAATAAAAAATGTCAAAAATTTTATATTTTATATTTGTATTTATTAAATTATATTAAATTAATTTTAGATTAAATTAAAATTTATATTAAATTAAATCAAACCAAATTAAATTTAATATAAAAAATAAAATGAAATACCAATTGTTATAAATTCGAAAGATTATTTGCTACCCATTAAGAATGTCACTTGTAACATTTAAAAAATTATATTTTTACATAAATAATAAAACTAAATTTTAATAGCAACAACAAGCATTATCCCACTAGATGAGATCAATATATAAATTATATGATGTCATTACACTTTATCAGTATGGTTCATATTTACAAATTTATATATTATTAACTTTTTCAAAAAGAACCTCACCAAGAAAATTGCCCACACTAATTTAATATTCTAAATCTGCCATTGGCATGGGCACTATTTGGATTGGAAGGAGAAGAAGTGCTGGCAACACGATCAGAATTATTGGGGCTGAGAGCAGGAGTACTAGAAGGATCATCCATACCCATACAATACAAGATAACAAGTGCCTAAGAAACTAATCAAATCATTAACAACTAAGCTTAATAAAAAATGCAAAATTTATTGAATAAAAGTCAACAATGCATTTAGCAATTGAAGGATTGAAGGCTTTATCAAATCAGGAACTACAAGTATGATTATGAAGGATCGAAGGTCAAAGAGAGCTCTGACCTATTAATCGATCAAAGCAAACGAGACAGAGGGCGATGAGGAAGATGGAGTTGCAACACTGATAAAGAGAAAGATGAACTTCCTTGCAACGAGTAACAGAGCATGAAATTGTAGAAGAGGAGCAGGGCATCTAGACTAGCACAAGCGTGATGAGGAAGATTGAAGAAGATTCACGATGAAGACTATCAAAGGAGATGAAACGACTTGAGATAGCTTTAGTAGCAAGAGGCTTAGGTTTAGGGTTCGATTTTTTTGCATTTGATTGACAAAATGATTGAGTGTGTCTATGGTTTTCGTTGGTTGTTTGTCAAAAGTTTATTAAATTAGTTATTATAATAAAATTTATATTTCGATATATATATTTTTTAAGTCAATCTGTTAAATCAAAAATTATTTAAATTATATACAGTGAAATGTTTTTTTTATTATACAATTACTAAAAAAAGATAGTAATTTGTGATGATTTGTTATTTTTGTTATACAAATATAATAAGAATAAAAAAATATAAAACTTGATGCGTTGGAAAAAATTATATGATAAATAGTTCAACACATATTAATATTAACATTTAACATGATTAATTATTTGATCTATATTATATAATCTAATATTAAAAAAAACACCAGATCTAGAGATAGATTTTGAATAGCACGAATATTGGAGAATAAAATTAGGGAGGCTGTATTTTAATTTTGTGAGGCTAACTGCACTGGAAAAATATTCACAATTGGTATGAAATAAAAATCAGTGCATTAAACCTAAGGTTTGCACAGAAAGGTAGCACGGTCAATGAAGAAGTCAGTGTCAATGTTTTTTCAGGGTCTTTTTGCAAAAACTCCTAGATTTAATGTTGCCAAATCCACATTCAAAGTCTTTGAATGTACATATAAAAAGTTATTTTTCATTATCAAAAAATAACCAAATAACTTGTCGCTTTTCAAAAATAAGAAAGTACTTTTAAATGTGGGAAGTTGTTAACTCAAATGAGCTCTTAATTTGCTAGCCTATCTAAGATTTAGGATTAAAAGTAAATTTGGTAAATATGAGAGGATAGAGCTTTTGAAAAGTGATTTTGACCAAGCTACCTCAATTTCAATTTATTATTATTTTATTTAAAAAAATATTGTTAATTCATTAAATATATAATAATCATTTAAATAATAACACTACTAGTTCATTAAAAATTCAATTCTTTCAATATTTAAACACAACTTAACAATAATATATTCTATTTAAATATTGATATATGTTGAACTATTGATTGTATAACTTTTTTAATATATCAAAATTTATATTTTTTTATTCTTGTTGTTTAGCATATTAAATTTAATGTTATTTAAAAATTTTATAACATTTTTAACACATTACATTTGTATAACAAAATTATAAAATATCATAAATTAATGTCCTTTCTAGTAATTGTATACTTAAAAACACATTTCACTATATAATCCAAACCACTTTTATTTTATCAAATTAGCTTGTAAAAAATATATCCAAATACAAATTTTTACAGCAATTGATTTTTGATAAATTGACTTTTGTCAAATATTCTAATAAACTAATTTTTCACTAACAAAAAACTAAATGTGCACTGAAAGTTTACCCTTTTTCTTCTTCAATTATGCAAGAAAAATGAAAAATTAAAAAATAACAAAACATTGTCGTATTGTGAAATCAAGGAGGAGAACAAAAAATAAAAGGAACCTTCTAGATTGTTGATTCACCCAATCATGTTGGTTCATGCGGTTCTCTTCTTTTTTAGTTATGCATTACTTTTTGATTGATTATCTGGCTGGTTTTTAGTTAAATTGGTCGAATTGACTAGTATGGTTCTAAAAACCTCACAGAAAACTTAATGCCTAGCCATCAAAGCCCAAGTGAGTGTGTGATTGTGAGATGAAGAAGTATGAAATGGGGTCCAAAATAAGGCTGTGGCACACTTGGAACGTACAAAACCATGTTTGTATTATGAAATAGGTAAAAAAAGGGGGGGCCTAAGGTCGAGCTAAGCACATTTATTAGATTACTTAGTTCGTCTATTACACCACAAGAGAAAGTAAACAATATGGGGTGAGTTTCTCTTCACTATATTTTTTTTCTAATACTTCTTTATTGCAAATTTGAACTATTTAAACTAATTTAGTACTTTTATAAATTATTAAATTCAAGTCATTAAATTCAATTTAACGATCAAAACATACGATGTTTCCTCAATTGCAAAGGAGGAAAGCCAACTCCAACAAGCACAACCAACAAAAGTTGACTTGTTAGTAAAAAAATTGGCCTATAACTCAGTAACTCACAAAATTGTTGGATCAAATTTCATTATCAATTTAAGAACTTTGTTTATGTGTGATTTATAAGTACCTCTATTTAGTATTTTTTAGTTTGGAAACATATCTTGATCCTAATGCACCCATATACACCCAAGTAAAGAAATACATGGAGGCTTTCCATTCATATAAACCAAAATTTGAACGTAAAAAAAAAAAGAGTAGATACTCCCTTGTTTTTAAAAGATCTGCCAAGAAAATGATTTTTTCTTAAAAAAGACAACACATGCCATGAAATAAAAAGTACATCATATAATTATAGTGTTAATTTTTCCTAAATAATTTTGCCCATGTGGTGCTCTCATCATTATTTCCTAGAAGCCAGCCATAAATGATTGTCTCAAAATTTACAGCATATATGCCATTTGTAGCCGGAGTACATTAGACATCACTATTTTATCTCATCAAGTTTTAATGATTTCCCTCGTACATTATCTTAGTGTCAGATGAATAAAATGTAATTCCACAAAAAACCTATTTTTTTCAAACGGATAAAAACAAATGCTATAATGCACGAATTTGTTAACCATAATTAGAGCCATGCCAAATCCGATGATCATCTCGAATAAATCCAAAAGATGTTAAGAATGAGCTTAAAAATTACGTAACTTTCTTTAAATGACACATTTTGAGGTAGCTTGATTAAGTCTAACAAAATTCAAACAATACTTGATTGAAGTCAAGCTACCTCGAATGCTTGTTCTTTTACAGTAAGTACTTAACTTATTAAAAATAAAGGCGAGGTAGGATTGAAAATTTAAAAACCTTATACTTGTTTGTATGGTAGAAATTATTTTTATAGATTAAAAATGAATATGAAAGTGGAGATGAATATAAAAATAGAGATGGATATGAGATTTAAAATATATTTAGTATCTTCACGAATTGAGAGATTATTTTTATCCAATATTAATGTTAAAAATAATAAAAAACTAAAACGCCCTCGTAAAAAAATTCCTGGCAGATCGAAGAAAGGATCCGCCCTTATAACCTAGATTGAAACAAAATCAGATGCCATATACAAAAATCACAACCCAGATCAAAGTAGAAATCAAGCATAAGGTGACACTTCATTTACTTGAAGCATTTTGTTTTTGTAGAATTGAAGGTCCCTTTGAACGATTTAGAAGAGCATAAGACGG